AAATTGCTAACCTTGGCTTTGTTCTCTTTTTAGTTCCAAGTGTCTCATCATACATCTACAAAAAATAAATTATTTTGCCATAACCCGTAACAAATTTAATTGGAAGAGGAAAAATAATAATAAAGGCACACCACAAATTTTGCTATTGAATAGAAACAATAGTAAAGGCACACCACAAGTAATAGTACTAGTTGTTGCATGATAGAGACTTGAAGATAAACTTAGATACACTTAGACTAGAACGAATCCATAAATCAATCAACAGCTTGAGAATTTTGATTGATGAAATTGATTTTCAACGACAAATGAATCCAGAAAATCAAGCTGAGACCAACATCCTTTGACTTTCAATCATATGATTATAAAAAAATCAAATAATACGTAAATACTAGAAAAAAAGGTAATTATTAAATCACTGATTAATAATCCATTAAGTACTAAGATGATTTATTAATAGCTTTCAAGTTTAATCAATAATTGGGATTATTTATTAAATCATTAATCTCCAACATTTTGATCCCAATTCATCATAATACAGATAATAAAAGAAAAAAAGGTGAACTATAAGATCATGGCTGCAAGAAAAATTGTTTAGATTTCTTGATAAATGGATACAATGAAGACGTAGAGTACAATGAACCATTAAACACAAATAGAATAACTCGCCAACTCCTCTTAAAGTAATTAAAAAGAGTGGCAAAAACTGTTCAACATAGACCCTGACAAGTTGGCCTATTTACTCTTCATTACATGTTTATTTTCATATTCAGATTTTTATTTTCATTACAAGTTGGTTAACTGTGGTGTTGGTGCTGGTGACAAGCAATTGTTTGATGGAAGAGAATGCCGAAAAGGAATTGGGAAAGGAGGCAGCCGACAGGGGATTATACTTCGTTTGGCAGTGGGCAAATTCCTTTTGGGGAAGATTTATATATTTGTATTTTGTAACTAAAATGGGCCAAAAGATTTGGATTTAATATTGTCTTTAGGTTGAATTGAGGAGCCCATTTAGTTTTTAAGTTATAATTTATAGATATCAAATTTTGTAATTTTTTTATGCAATCTATTAATTATTAAAAATAAAAAAATTACAACGAAATCGGTTCCATCCGGCTACCCATGGTTCCAATTCAAGAACCAAAAATCGACCCAGACCCAATCGATTCTCAGCTTTTGGTTTCGATTCCTATTTTTTTAAGAATCGAACAGGAACCTCTGGTTTCGGTTCGGAAGATTCAGTTCCAGTTAAAATGCTCACTCCAACCAACAACCTTGATCTGTCATTCATAGCTGTCCAATTATCCAACTTTCAATGGAATTCCACACAGAGAACAAGATTGTAAAAGAACAAAGGTTTTTTGTTCTTGTGCTAGCAAGAATGAAATTCTCTACAAATTCTAAACTCTAACTGCTTATTGTTAAAACCCAAACGAGCTTGGCTCATCTCTTTACCCAGTCTAATATTTAATTAACCCATATAATTAAATATAGTTCATTAATTAATTAATTCAATTAATTAATTCGAACTTATAAATAAGTAACCCAATTAATTAATTTATCCAATACTTGTTAAAGTAATTAATTGATAAAAACACAATCTTCTAGTTCTCCTTTTGTGTACGACCCATTAAGTTCCCAATCACAACGCCTAACGACGTGAATTATTATTTTAATCTAATCAAAATTGATAAATTAAAATACTCATTTTGATTTATCATCAATTCACGTTCGTCCTCCCCAAATTGAATCTAATAATATGTTAGGATAATACATGTGACGAGAAATGTCACGTTGTATGAAAAAATCAAACTTGTTCGTTTACCATAAAACTATAATCCCTTCGTCAATATGATCCGATCAATTACGAGATATGGAAGTGTGTCAATCTCAATTATCGATCATATCTTTCATTCTACTATTTAGTCAATATAAGTCGAAAGCTCCTTTTCGACTTATGAGTACATCTTAGCCAAAAATATCATTATCGACTTAATTGAATAAAATGGAGATCATAATTTCTTACTATCTAAAAGTGATGAATCATCTATTGGTCATTCATAACCTTCATAAGATTCTTAACATGTTCGAACGATGTCGTATTGGCGACTCTTGGCAAAGCACCATCCAACATCACCAAAGTATTACTGCCCTCAAACCTCAAGTTAAGGACCAATTCTATTACCGAACATTAGAGATTACCCACTGACACTCAAATAATTATCCATGTTGAATCTCCCAGTAGGCCTTCAATGTTTTATTTTATAAAACATCCACGAGCTCATTTAAGTGTCATCACACTTTAGTTTGTGAGATAAACTATTTACTTCACGATTAAGAAATATCACACGTGATGGTCTAATCGTAACAACGATATCCATATCTCATTATTACTTTTGACCATGGATTATATAAGATTTCAATGATACATAATTTATCTCACAATCACAAATCCTTGTGATTAACAAATTACTGAAACTTGAATTTACGAACTCTATTATTTAATATCATTAATTAGAATAGTGATTTAAATAAATAATAGATCTTGCTAAAAATAAATACATTAGATATATTAAAAGTGTTTATAATATAAATTGATTGGATTTAGAACATAACACTTACTGCTTCTCACCTTTTCTACGTGTCCACCACTCTTCTTTTTTTGTCATTTTTTTTTACAAGGTGTCCAATTCTTGACTAATCCTTGGATCTGTGATCCGGCCCCTCTTCACACAGTCCAGTTAATGGCGGGATGTGCCTCCAACTAGTCAGGGTCCGAGTCCTCCCCACTTGATCTGCCAAAGTGACAAGCAAGCCAATTCAAGTTGCACCTTGCCTTCCAAGAATAATCATTGCCTTCCAAGATTTCTCTTGCCTTCCAAGAATAAATCCTTGCCTTACAAGAGCCCCATGAATCGAACTCACGACCTTTGATCTGCCAGATTTGATAGAGCCTGTCCTTTGCCAGTGGAGAAGTGCCCCTGGGGGCCTTTTTTTGTCATTTTTTATTTGGAGGAAGGTGGTGGAGGTGGTGCTTGGCTTCATTAGTTTGAAGCCTCCGCGTATTGGTTTGGTTTGAAAGTTGTTAGTGGAGTGTTTGGTAGTTGTTAGGGGAGTGGTAGATTAAATATAAACAATCTTTGCAAGATAGCATCTAGCGTTAGATAATAGTAAAGCAAAAGAAATTAAAAGTAATTTGTATTAATAGTTAATCATATTATTAGTTTAATTTGACATCCAGTTCGTTATTTTGATGTCCTTCTCCAAGTCGATGCCAGGGCTGATTTTTAAAACATTAAAGATAAGTTAATTTATCTTAGAAAATTTTCATACATGATGATGGTGATTTATTCTAAGCCCTTGTTTGAGCCCCATTTTGAAGAAAGAATGCATTTTGAAATAGATTGATGGAGAATGTGTGGTTAAAAAATAAGAAAAAATTTTAAGTTTGAGTGTAATATTATTTTATTGAAAAATGTGATTAAAAATGAGTTTTGCAAAAATTATTTTTTATAAAAATGGGGCTCAAACAATGGCTAAATAAGCAAACAATCATATAGGGTTGTCTCCAAGGAAAAATGACTTGACAAGTTATTAGTTTGAAAAATTACACTTAATTATCCAAGAAAATTAGAGGTGTCAACGAGGGTCGGTCCCTTGATCTTGGCCTTGTAGATTAGACCATAGTGAATTGGGACGAACGGACCCTCCAAGTCTTCGTTTGGGAAGAAATACTAAGTGGTTGAAGAATTAGTCAGCAGCCACTATTGACAAATGCCAAATCTTGAATAAAATTAATAGTAGTGAACGTAAAAAAAATTGTGAAATTCCATGTACACACAAAACAATCCTTATTCAACAAGAACTTCAAAGATTAATTATCAATTGGTCACACCAATAAACTTTTCAACACCTGCCACAGGAATGCAACCAAATGACCTAGCCAACACGTTTGTAAGGTGGGATCTACCTCTCAACGCCCTCACAAGCCCCCAACGACTCCCACCACCACTCTTTCCTCCTCTTGATCCACTCACCACTGCCTCCGCCGGAAACATCACCACTGGTACTCGTCGACTTTGCCTCTGCTTGATGGCACCTAGCTCCATTTCTGGCTTGAACTTCACCGGCCCAAACATGAACATTCTCCTCCTAGACTTGGCTGACATGGAGGTCAGAGAAGTGATATTCACCCTCTGCACATGATAATTCAAGTCCCTGGAGGAGCACTTCGACTGAGAAACGTCACTAGGAGAACTCGAAAACCTGGACATAATATTGTCTTTCTGTCCTAGACGATCATCATCTTGAATAGAAGGTTTACGAAAGGAACGAGACTTTACCGTGGCGAAATAATCTCTCTTTTGGTACTCGTTGAGTTCCTCATCTGCTTCTGGTTCATATACGTGTTTACCATGGGAAATGATATCAGAGTTGGAGTAGGGTTGGGAGGTTAGGCCTGTGAAAAACTCGAAAAGTTGATCAATTTGAGCCGAAGAATTTCTTGGGCTCTCCTCAATAGATTCAGAGTTATTTTGAGCTATTACAAGGTTACTGAAAGAAAGATTGTCTTCTTCTCGTTCTCGTTCTTCTTCTTGAGCATCATAGTATTGTGGAAATGGAATTGTGTTTTCTTTGTGCAGTTCCATTATTAGAATCTTGCAGAATAGTAACTCGGATATAAAGAATGGTAGTGTGAGGTTTTTAGTGAAGGATAGAATGGAATGGGAGGCCTATGGTGAAATGGAGAGAGATGCCAATATATATGTGTGGAAAAACAAAATGTTGG